GAAACAGATGCTAAAGAAAACAGAGAGTGACGCTCAGAGAGAGACGTGTCTGCACAATTTTTTTGGTTATGATGCGAGAAAGAGAATAAACGAAAAAACGCTCAACTCTCATTTGCAAGCTCTGGTGGTTAGTGGTATAACCAAGCAATTTTAATAAAACACAATCACAATAAATTTTACACAGCCATTGTCAAAGCTATTAGTTTTGTAAATGAGAACTAAAGCCCAGGTTTTTTTTAAATATACATATGTATGTATTTTAGTATTGTAGATACATATGTATGTACATATGTATATACATAAATATGTACATATGTATATTATCATACCATATACCAATACCTTGTTTGCCATTGAAATCAGTTCTAATTTACTCTACTTTTAGAAGTATATTTGGCAGCTTTTACGTTTTTATTGGGTTTCGGAGAGATAACACTATTATAACACATGCATACATGTACCACAAAAACTTTTGTACATACATATACATACATATGTACATACATATGCATTATTATTGTCGCTACATATATAATACATACATACATATGTATGTAGGTACATATACATATCTGTGTATTTATACATACAATACGCATAAGTGCGAGCTTACTAATTTTTGACTTTGCAAAAGGTTATATTACGAAGAGTTAGTACAAAAATTATTTTATACTAAGCGGTATAATGCTAAAGTTCTCTGCAAATTTAAACTTCCTTTTTACTGAAACTGCATCAACTATAGCAGGGAGAATCAAGTTAGCGGATCAGCATGGCTTTCAAGCAGTGGAAATACCATATCCTGTTGGAGAACTTATTGATGTTGCACAAGCAATCAAAGAAAGTGGAATATTAATTAGCTTAATAAATATTTCAATTGGTAAGTCTAAATACAAGCGTACAAAACACATACATACATATGTATGTACATACATATGTACGTGCGACATACATACATACAGTGCCTCACAGCTTATTTCGTGCAGCGGTATAGTACAATTTTAAATCCGTATTCCCGCTAAACCAGTAAAGATATCCAAAAAATGTAAATGGGGTCTTGTTTATCAGTCATTCATTATATATTAACACACTTCATTATTTTTGTGTTCTAACAAATAACACTTAAAACTAAAATAACTGGTCTTTTCCATGTCACAGCTTATTTCGTGCACTTCACTTTCAATGACTTTATTGCCCAGAAATTCTTAAATTAGAATTTTTTTTACCTTGTTTTACCCTTTCTTTTATACCCTAAACCCATTTTCAATGGGAAATCAAGGTATAATGGTTTTGTTGAAATGTATGTAACAGGCAGAAGGAGGCGTAGAAAACCCCAAAACTGCAGTGAATCTATTTGAGTTTTGCCAGCGCAGCTACCAATAGTGAGTTAGTTTGGTTTAGTTTTGCTGGATGGCGCTGCAGCAGTAAATCTATTTCAGTTTTGCCAAAACGGCCTCCGAAAGTGAGGTGGTGTAGTGAGTAGCTGCGTGACGCTCGATCGAGGAGTCGCGGGTTCGAATCCCGGGCGATGCGACTGATGTTAATTTTTTTAATTGTTTCAAAATATTTTTATATTTTGATAAATGAGTTTTCTATTTAGTTTATTTGTAAAATGTCCGTGTATACTACCCATACTATTCTAATTCTGGGCAGCTCGAGCAGAGTTTTGGCTTTCCCAATTGGAAGAGCAACCGTAGGTCTTTGCTGTCCACCAAGACCTGGTCGATGTGATTTGATAGCCTCAATGGGGAGTGAGCTACTCTTCAACTCCACCCATATAAATCACGAACCCATATAAATCACGAATCTCAATTTAAGCCGATTCGGTAAGTGTTTTAACTACCGCTCGGTCACATAAGACCATGCCTACAGCTTCGCGCAGTCCGCATAACTGCAACCACCTTTGCCTGAAATCGCAATTGCGTCAGTTTTTGGTCGTTTCTGCATTGGCTTGCGTCCTTTAACGACTGTCCAGTTGTTCGGGTTTGTCTGTTTACTTGCCTGGTTTGAATTTTCAGCTGTAGCCCGTAGAACCATTGGTTCTTTTGAGTTCGCTGCGCTTTTATTGGGCCTCGGCTTTTTTGAGGGTGTTTTCCTCTGATCGGTGGCAACTTCTCTCGACCGCTTGGGCGTATTGCTACCCGAAATCGCACTAGCGCTCGCTTTCTCAACTACTTTCGTGAGCGGCGTGGTCTGCGCCTCACAGTTTTTCACCGGTCGGTTGCAGAACCCATTAAGAATGGGAAATCAGGGTATAATATTTTTAACTAGTTCAGTTACCATACGACATATAAACTAGACGAATAGAAATTTTTTAAATAGACGCTTGGCACTTAGTATTTTCACGGCTCGGTCGGTTGAGGCTCGTTCACTGAAAATTGTGCGCTGCAACGAAATAAACTCATTATCATTTTAAGCTCAAATATGCGACATTTTTCCGTAGTCCCTCTCTCTCTAAGGCTTCACAAAATTAATATCTGTTCGCAACGATTCCCCTTTCCACTTCCTTGAGTAAACTAAACTCTTGAAAGTGTTGTCATGCTGATACTAAATGTTAGCGTTTTCTTGATTATTTGTGGGATGGGTTTTCGTGACGAGCATTCACATACACTTATAGTCCCTTACTACATGTATAAGCATGTAGCATGTGTGCAAACTGAGAAACTCAAATCAGTGCATTAACTCTTTCATACCCTTCCCGCAAATAATCATGAAAAGAGTTCGGTATGCTCCTTACTCATATACTCATATAACATATCTTTATACTTATTCCGCATATATATTTCAGACAACACAAACGATGAGCTAAAATATGGTTCTACAAGCATCCCTGGAGAAGAAAAATTGTTTCAGAAACAGCTAAATGAAACAATAGAGTTTGCGAAGACGGTAAATTGCAAGAAGTAAGCAAAAATAATTAATATTACATTTATAAGTATATATATAGATATATACATATTTATGTTTCCGTATTTATATCTTGTAAAGAAGTTTCCGTGGTATGGGATAATTCTTAGTCTCCCCAGGGTCGTTTACAAGAATATTTGTAATTGCCGGGACCGCGGGTTGAGCGGGATATTGGTTCCGGGGTGTCCGAGCTATCCGAGCTTGGGAGATATCTTGCTAGAAATTAACGGTAGACGCCTGTAACACGAAATGATGACCAAGGCGCATGTGCTGCCAGCCGCCCAGATCCGACGTCCGTTGTAGATAGCAACGACACGCGGGCAGCGCGAGGCAATCACTAAACAATAGGACAGCTAAGCTGGCCCCTGCTTCGACCGAGCTCTGGTGTATCACACTCGGAGCAGGATCGCGTTGCACCCACTATGTCCTCTGGCGAGATCGTCGGTTCAGCGCAACTATGCGCTCTTAGCTCTACACTGCTACGTTGATTTGTATGCGTTTTGTTGCATAAAATATTTAGCTTTTAGCGCAGCTATGCGCGCTCTCTTTGGCTTGGCTGATCGCTGTGCGCATTGTTAAGCGTTGCGCTGCGAAGCAATAAAGAGACGCCGTTAGATCTCCAGCGTTGTTCTCTGTCCAAGTCCAAGTATGCATTGCCCAGCGATCAAATACAGACAAGCGCTAGAGGCTTAAATTTTGATACCCTGAATGTTTTTGCGAAAATGTATGTAACATGCAGAAGGAAGCGTGGTCGACCCCATAATATCCTTGTCCAGATATAGCCATGTCCATCCGTCCATCTGAACGCAGAGATATGATAAACCAAAAAGGTTAAGACAGTTCTACAAAAAGTTTTCATAATACAAGTAAGAACGTTGCAGTCGGACGTTATAGACTGCAGAATATTCATTCACAATTCATCTTCAGATTTCCAATTAGTATATTTTTTTGTGCAAATCAAATTGCTATAAGCAATTTAGCCGTTAATTTTGAGTTTATAAATTTAATACTGAAGAACATTCAGTTTTTATACCCTGAACGCATTTTCAATGGGAAATCATGGTATAATGGTTTTGTTGAAATGTATGTAACAGGCAGAAGGAGGCGTGGCAGACCCCACAAAGTATATATATTCTTGATCAGGGTCACGAGCTGTCCGTATGTATGAACGCGTCGATTTCAGATGATATAAGAGCTAGAGACTTCAATTTTTTTATTTACGTATTTACAGCGCGGATATCTTTTTTTTATCGATAAAAACCCTTATCGAAAACCAGTTATAAATTTTTTTTTTTTGCTTGAGTCTCCAAATTTTTAATGTATTCTTATATGCAACTTATGCAATTCCGGTTTTTGTTAAAATTTACCCCCCACCTCTATATCCACCCCATCACCCTCTCTTTTTTTTTTTTTTCAGAGAAATTATAAAATGTATTTATTTACAGCTTAGCGCATAGCTACCTAATTGGTAACTTAATCTAAACAGATATTTACAAAAATTTATTTACTTAAAAGCTATATTATTATTAATATTATATGCATATATTCTTGTCAAATCTGGAGGTGTTAGGTCAAGACCCGATCCAGTAGATCTTGAGGGTGGTGGCGTTTCAGTCTTCTCCTTATATTTCTACGGGGGTTGACTGCACAGCCTAGTCGTCTGGCCAAGCTATTTTGGTGTATTTTTGGCTATCTCCTGTATTTTGTCTCCGATTTTTGTTACTTTGAGGTCGCRTTCGATGTTTCTTGTTCTAATGTACCACGGAGCCCCAGTGATCTTCCTTAAAGTTTTTGCTTGTAATACTCGCAGTTTATTCAAATGACATTTGGCTGCGATGCCATATATTTGAATGAAATTTTTTTCCTAGGTCCGTGTATAGCACGCGCATATCGAGCTTTATCTTAAATATAGATAACTTGCCCCGTTATTTTGTTATCGATTAAAAACATTATCGGAAATCAGTAATAAATTTATATCTCCTACATCTTTAAAGCTAGAGTCTCCAAATTTTTAATGTATGCTTATATGCAATTTATACAATTTCGGGTTTTGTCAAAATTTACCCTCACCCCTAATTCACCCCCTCACCATCACATTTGTAAAAGGCGTATTTCAATAACTAGACTTGTGCTTTGGCAAATACATGAATATTCATGTTATAATCATAATCTGAAAGTTTCATGAAGATTAAGTTCTCATAGAAAGCGCACACTGCAGCCCATGCGTGTTTATGCTTGTGTGTTTATGTGTTTGTGTATGTATGTGTGTAAATGTTTGTTATGTGTGTGTGTGTGTGTGCGTGCGTGCGTATTTCTTGTGTAAGCTGAAAGAAGCGAAAAATTATTGAAATAGCTATTGCTCCAAGGGTTAGATTTTCAATAATTTCAGGGTACACTAACGACTAAAACTATTTTCTTTTTTTCAGAATTCATTTGATGGCAGGAGTGGTGAATAAAAAATTGGAATGCGAACATTATGCGACCTATGTGTCCAATTTAAAAGAAGCTGCCGATATCTTACTGGCCAATAATATGATTGGCGTTATTGAACCGATAAATAAATATGCCATTCCATCATACTATATGGACTCTTTCGCCAAAGGTACAGCGGTTATTAATTTTATTCATGTCTATTTATTTTACGAAAAGTACTTATATCTTTTTATACCCTGAACCCATTTTCAATGGGAACAAAACCATTATTTGTTGAAATGTAAGTAACAGGCAGAAGGAGGCGTGGCAGACCCTACAAAGTATATATATTCTTGATCAGGGCGACGAGTTGAGTCGATTTAGCTCTGTCCGTCTGTCCGTTATCCGTATGTTTGAACGCGTCGATCTCAGAAGATATAAGAGCTAGAAACTCCCGATGTTTTATTATCGATTAAAAACCTTATCGAAAGCTTGATATTTACTTATATCTCCTACACCTTTGGAGTTAGAGCTCCCAAATTTTAAATGTAGACTTATATATTATATTTTATATAATTTCGATTTTTGTTGTAATTTACCCCCACCATTATATCCACCCCCTCACCCTCACCTTAGTAAAAGGTATTTCAAGTACTAGAGACTTGGGAATGTACATACATTGAACATTATGATTATGTTCTGAAAGTTTCATTAAGATTGTACGTTTAGAAATTAAATTATTCAACAAATAAATTCTTATAATGTTGCCCGACCTGCAGCGCAGCCCAAGCGCAGTCGCTGCTTACTGCGCAGTTAGCAGATCGTGTTCTAATACGTTCGTTTGTATGTACATATGTGTGCTGAAAAGATGTGCAGAGTGATTAGAATATCAGATTAGAGGGTTCAGGGTATCTCCTAGTCGAGCAGTCTCGACTAGAGTCTTCTTACTTGTTAATTTTATTTTTACGTACTTTTATATTTTTATTTACAGCTTCAACCATATTAAAAGAACTTAAATCTAATAACATAAAACTTATGGTTGATCTATACCATCTGCAGCATATATGTGGAAACTTTACTAAAACCCTAGAGGAATATAGGGATGTAATTGCTCATTTTCAAATTGCCCAGGTACCCAATAGAGATGAACCAGATTCACCTGGCGAGCTAAATTATGATTATATATTTAAAAAAATACAACTTTTTGGCTATGATGATTGGATTGGCTGTGAATACAAACCTAAAAAAACAACTGTCGCCGGATTAAAGTGGATTTCCAAATATATTAAAGAGCAATAGATTCAACAGGGCTTTAAAAAAAATATAAGTTTTAAAATTTTCATACTTAATGATTAAATCATTTAAAAATTTTATGAATTTTGATAATTTTGTATTTGTATTTGTTAGTATAAACACATTAAAATTAAGCAATTTATCTGTATAGTCATCCCAGCTCTTAGCATTTATCATCAATTATCAGTTCGTCTTCGCCGTTCAAAGCTGAGAATAGTATGTCTCCGGCTTTATTAAAGTCTGCTTATCCAATCATATACAGTACCGAGCAAAAATGAGTGAATGTTGCAGAACTTTGACTTTCATCACGCATAAAAAAATAAAAAAAAAATTGTGTGTGTTTGTTTATTAGTATGTCCTTAACAAATACAAAAAAGTTGCAAAGCTAAATTAGGTAAATTCAAAGAATTACAAATAAACAAGTAAGAAAGCTCTAGTCGAGACTGCTCGACTACGAGATCCCCTGAACTCTTGGAGCAATGGCTATTTTAATAATTTTTCGCGTCTTTCAGCTTACACAAGAAACACGTACACACACAGACACACACACACGCACGCACGCACACACAGGCATACATACACACACACTTTCCACTGTGAAAGTGGAAAGAACTGTAGACAACGTGGTTGCTGTGGGCGCGACGCACTCAGCGACAGCAAAAAATCTATCAAAGATTTACTTCGCGGCGGTCTCGCGGAGTACCCCAGTGGTACAATCCGGTGGTGCAAGAGAGGGGGGCAATAGCGTCACTGTTTTTGGCGTCAGGGCTTTCCTCTTTCCCTTTCTTTTTTTAAGCGCGAAAAGATTTGT